CAAAATAAAGTAACAGATTTTGATTTTAGAGTGTTTAAAGCATGATGAACACACCTCCACACCAGCAGGTGGCGCTGGAGCTCACCTGCAGCTTTAAACAAGAAAAAACAAACCAGGTGTTACTTGTTATTAATTATTAGTTTTACTACAGAAGCTGAAGACCTAAAGGAGGATCTGAGGATCTTTTCTCAGGTTAATAAAGTTTTATTTAAACAAGTCCTGACCTGCAATAAACTGTTTAATTATAAATATTAAAAACTCACAAGCTTTAAAATGAGTTAAAACAGGACAGAATAGTTTTATTTTGTAGAATCTGAGGTTTTACTTGAAAACAATCTTTGCTGTTTGTTAAAATATAATTCTTACATTTAAAMTTTAATATCAAAATGTTTTTACCATAAAGTCAATTAATCTTTAAAACAGATTTCATCCCAAAATAAAAGCTTAAAGTCAGAATAAYCAGATTATTCTGGTTTTATAATTTAACTGCAGTGAAAATAAACAGTTTTGTTTCCTGAAGTCTCTGCAGTTTGTGAGTCTGCCTCTGCAGGGCAGTATAATCCAGTTTAATCCAGGGTTCAGCTGACAGTCAGACTTTCTGCAGCTCTGAAGCACCGAGTGTCTCAACAGTAATCTGAAATAATCTGGGTTTTTTGTGTTCGAGCTCAGATTCTGCTCACACTGAAGGTAAGATTCTTCTTTTCCTCCAGGAGAAAAATATGGGATTAATTTAGAGCAGATTAACTGTTGTTCTTCAAATCTGTTGGTCCTGGTCCTGGACCTGGACCTGGACCTGGTTCTGGTTCTGGTTCTGGTTCTGGTTCTGGTCCGTGACCACGAGTGACTGACAGCAGCTTTAATGTTCTTGTTTCAGGACATGACGGGTTCACACAGATTCTCCAGATTTTGTTTTTTTACTTTTGTTTCTGTTTTATTTTTGCTTCTCTTCAGTCCAGGTGGGTCCGGTTCTGGAACCAGTTTTATTKGTTGTGGATTATTTTCTAAATGTTTTCATCGTCCAGTAAAGTTTGATCTGTTTATTTTTCTCATTTTCTGCACAGAAAATGTTCCAAAATGTAAAATACTTGATATTTTTACAGCTTTAAGGCTCACAGAGCTGCAAGAGAGAAACTCCAGAGAATTCCACAAAACTACAGGTAGTTTTCAGTTTAGTTGTTGTTGTTTAGTTTAGTTTGTTGTTGTTGTTGTTGTTGTTGTTGTTGTTGTTGTTGTTGTTGTTGTTGCGGACTCTTGATGCTAACGTGGCTTCAGTTTATTTCAGCTAAAACATGTTCTGAGTTGTGAAAAGAAGAAGCTAACTGAGACCTGAGGGTCTGAGGGGTCCAGACCTGTAGTCTGAGGTGGACCCTGATGGTGGTCTTTAAGACCTGGACCACTTCAGGCTCTGGTTCTGACCTGRTTCTGCTGATGCAGCAGATTCAGAACCTGGTCTGACTTCAGCTTCTACTTTTATTTCTCAGAAAGTCCAACAGAACCGGTGGACCCAGCAGCCTTAGACCTGACCCCCCTGGTCAACACGCTGATCAACTCCAGTCAGTCTGGTGCGTCYCCCCCACCCCAACCAGGGATTATTAATCTATTGGTGCAAAAAATAACAGTTTAGATTTTCTTCAGAATATGAGACACTGGTAATTAACCTGTAATTAATTAGTAATTAAATAGTAAATAATCTGCAATTATTAAGTAATTAATCTGTAATTAATCTGTAATTAACTTGTAGTTATTCTGTAATTAACCAGTAGGTAATCTGTAATTAATCTGTAGTTAATCTGTAGTAAATCTGTAATTAACCTGTGGTTATTCTGCAGTTAAATTGTAAATAATCTGTAGTTAATCTGCAGTTAATCTGTAATTTGAACAGATTGTTTGTGCTCTCCAGGCTCTCGGCAGCTCTTCTCTCTGCTCAGCGTCACCTCCTTCAGCTCTCTGGCTCTTCATAAACTCACCTTGTTGGTTTACAACAGTAAATATAAATTTATAAACCTCCTCATGAAGCTGAAAACAAATTAAATATGAAAATAACRGATTTAATTTTTGATAACTTTGTAAATTCTGCCATCTGGTGGTCTG